TGAGAGAATGATAGGTAAGTGATTATTGTTCATTCTTGGGTGTGTTGTTGCTTTGATTTCTCTCCTTGACCATTTTATTATCTGGCCTTAATCTTTGGTTTTGTTGTTTTATATTCGTGAGTTTTATTATGGTGTTCTGGTGTAACACTGTTTTGAGTACTTCTTGTAGGCTGGTCTTGTCTTGGTGAATCTCTGAGACTTTGCTTGTCTGAGAATGTCTTTATTTCTCCTTTGTATATGAAGCTTAGTTTTGCAGGGAATAAGGTTCTAGGCGGGCATTGTTTTTTTGAGAATAGTAGAATGGGCCCCAGTCTCTCCTTGCTTGTAAAGTCTCATTAGAGAAGTATCTGGTGTTATTCGAATTGGCTTTCCCTTGTATGTCACTTGCTTCTTTCATCTTACAGCTCTTAGAAGGGCCTCTTTAGTTGATATTTTAGTCAATCAGATGACTGCATGTCGTGATATCTTCCTGTTTGCATTGAATCTCCCAGGGTCCTCTGAGCTCTTGAACTTGATATGAGATTTGAGCAAGGCCTGGGAAATTTTCCTCTATATAATCTTCAAACAGCTTGTCCAAGCCTTGAGTGTTGTCTTCTTCCCTTCCTGGTATCCCTATGACCCTCACATTAGGTTTCTTTACATAATTCCACATGTCTTGTAGACTTTGCTCTTTTCTCTTGTTTCTCTGCTCTCTCTGTGACGGTTTTATTTAGTTGGAGGGTGTTATCTTCCATCTCTGAGATTTCTGGTCTTCTGTTTGATCTACCCTGTTCTTGAGACTTTCCACTGTATTTTGTAGTTCCCTGAGTTGATTCTTCATTTCTAGGAGTTTGGTTAAACTTTTCTTCATTGTGTCTATTTCTTTAGTGAACTTTTTTTGTAGGTCCTGGAGGCTTTTTGTGGTTTCTTTGTGTTGGTTATTGAGTTGTTCTTGCAGGTTGGTAAGTGTTCTTATGATCCACATAAGAGAAACTCCTCTTCTGTCATTTTGGTTGCCTGATTTTGGTTGGTGTCCGTTTCTAGGGGGCTGGTGCTCCTCTTTGGGGGTGTGTTTTCTGTTTGGTTCTTCATATTTCCTGAGTTCCTTCGCTGATTTCTTCCCATGTCAATAAGTTGTTGTTTCTTTCCTTTAGGTTTTTTTTGGGTATTGACATGCCTTGTTTAGTTTCTTAGTTGGTAGGTGGTGTCTGTGGGTGAGATTCGACCACTCCCTGTATAATGAGTCAGTAGGTGCCATGAAAATGCTGTGCAGGATGTCCTCCCTGTCAGTAGGTCGTGCTTGCTTGGAGGAACAGGCTACACTGCTGTTTTTGTGTCCTGTTTTCAGCTCTTGTTCCTGTAGACAGAACTCTAGTGCCTCCGGTGGTCGGTGGGGCCCTGGGACTTTCAGGTGTGTCCTTTTCTCCCCCTCAGTGAAGGCTGGTCTAGGAGAAAGTCTGGGCGGAGCTGGGTTGGGTAAGCCTGCCCGCAGGCACCACCAATGTCGTTAGCAGGGGTCAGAGTTCTGTTCTCTGCTTCCAGGAAAAGCTGTCAGGGAGGGGCTGGAATGGCCCCGCTCAGCCAGAAAGTCTGTATGTGGGGGTGGGGCTGTCTGAGACCCGCAGTGTGGACCGGGCTTTGCTTCTTTCCACCCTCCCCAACTCCGCAGCTACTCCTGGGCCTCTGCCAGCAGGCCAGACCACACGCCACCAGGCTTCCCCTGACTGTGATGCCGGCGGAGAGGTTCCCTAGGCAGGAACGCCACCTGGGCTGGGCATATGGCCTCCTTTTGGGAGTAGGGTTGCCCTCTAGGAGGCTGATCTGCCCCTGAAGGGACACACACCTCAGTAGGATGTTCCTGTATATCCCTTCTGTGCCCGGGGCAATGCGAGACCTGGGTACACGGGATCTGGTCTGCAGGTCTGACCTGTGGGTCTCAGAGTTCAAACTATATCCCCACCAGGGAGAGGAGTGCCAGTCCCAATTTACCCACAGGGAGCCCAAGCTGGGTCTATGTCTCTCAGCCTCAGGGTCTGCCCTGTTCTCCTGGGAACACCGTGCCAGCAGCACCTGGGAGGGCTGGTGGGTAGGAAGCTCACTGTCTGAGTCCCCTTAGTCAGCTATAGGGTCCCAAAAGGGAAGGTCCTGTTCCCTGGAGGTGCCTCCGGCTGGTGGCTGTATTGTCTCTCTGGGCAGCCACGGGTAGGGTCGGGGGAGGGGAGAAGGAGGCAATATGGCGTCTGCCGCGCAGCTTGGGTCTGTGCACACGGAGGTGCCGGGAGGGTGTTGGGAGCCTGGTGCCTCGTCTGCTACAGGCTCACCGCTAGCTGGTGCCAGCCGTCTCTGGGCTGGTGTCCGCAGGTCTCTCCACCCGCTGGGGAGCCCACCAGCTGTCCCAGAGGGGAATCGGCAAATCCATCCACCCTTCCCGCTGGTCTCTGGGCTGCTCCGGCGGTCTCAGCTTCCAGTTCTCCTCCGCAGCCTCCTCCCGTGGAGTCTCCCGGGGTCTCAGGTACCCTTCCTTCCGGCCCTCATCCGCTGTATGCTTGTCTTCTTGCTTCTTTTTTCTAATTTCTGCTAGAATCTGTCTTTTCTGCAGAGACACTTTGTCTGGCAGTGTTTCTGGTCTGCCATCTTAATCCTCCCCTAAATTTCTTAATATGGAAACTTAGATTACTGATTTAAGAACTGTTTTTTTCTGTAATATAAGCATTTCAGTGCTATACATTTTACCTCTTAAGCACTCTTTTAGCTGAATCCTACAAATTTTGATAAAGTGGTTTCATTTTATTTTCACTCAAAATATATTCTAATTTTTCATACGATTTCTTTTTGAGCCATGTGTCATTTCAAAGCATCTTGTTTTAATTCCAAATATTTGAGGATGTTTCAGATGTTTTCTATTATTATAATAATTTCTAGTTTAACTGTGTTGTGTTTAAAGAGCATACTTTGGATGATTTTAATTTTCTTTTATATTTAATGAGCCTTTTTACATGGCCTAAGAATATTGTCTGTCTTGTAAATATTTGTGTGCACTTGATAAGAATGTGTTTTCTGCTGAAGTGGGATGGAGTGTTCTACTAATATAAATGTCAGTTAGGACAAGTTGGTGGAATATACAGTTCAAGTTTTAAATATCCTTGCTGATTATCAGCCTGTTTGTTCCTTTAGTAAGAAAGGAATATGGATATTTCCAGTGATAATTGCAGATTTGTCTATTTCTTTTTTCAACTCTACCTGCTGAAGTTCTGTTTGGTCTAGTTAACATTTTATAATCAGTGTATTCATATTTAGCATTATTATGTCTTCTTAATGAATTGATCCCTTTGTCATTATTAAGTATCCATCTTTATTCAATATTTCTTGTTCTGATGAGCACTTCTTATAGTATTAATATAGCCCTCTCCAACTTTCTTTTCATTAATGAATATTTAATATATCTTTTTCATCCTTTTACTTTCCAAGGTAGGTGTTTTGTTGAGTCTTTCTTTCTAACAATAAAATTTAACAATCTTAACCTTTTTAATTGGATTTTTTGTATTGCTTACATCTCATGTAATTATCAATATTATTGAGTTTAAATTTGTATTTTAAGTTTTCTTGTCAGTCTCACCTATTCTTTTTTCTCATTTTCTCTTTACCTGCCTCTTTTAGATTAATTGTGTATATTGTTGTATTGCATTTTGTCTCCACAATTGGATTATTAACTATACCTCTGTTTATTTTTTAGTGTTTGGGTATACATATTTAACTTATTAGAGTCTATTTTCAAATAGTACTTTTCCATTATACTTATAATGTAATAACTTTACAATAGTATTCTTCCACTTCCCTCTGCAGTCTTTCATGCTATTATACTGTTGTTGTTATACTTTTTACTTGTATGTATAACATTTAAAATACATTACTATTGTTTGCAATAGTCATCTTTAAGTTTATTAAAAAATAAGAAAAATGTTTTATATTTATCAATATATTTATTATTTCCACTGCTTTCCTTTTTTTGTATAGATTATAATTTTCATCTCACTCTCATTTGCCTGAAGAACTTCCATTAACATTTCTTATAGATGTTCAACTTTATTTGTTTGAAAAATCTTTATTATAGTTTCATTAATTTTATTATATACATATTAAGGATTTCTGTTCCTAAATGGATGAAATTATTAGACAGTTTAAAGGAGAAAGAAGATAATTGAAATGTCTAAAACTGAAAAGATTTTAAACTTAGACTAAGAGGGCAACAACCTCAATATAACATTGTTTAAGGGATATGAATGGACAACTTTCAGATGAAGAACTCCAAAAGCTAATAAGCATAGTAACTAGTAATTAGGGAAAGAAAACTAAAATAGTAATTAGTATTTCTTTACAATCATTAGGCCAAAGAAACTTAGGATATTGAGTAGTAATAATGTCATGTGTTGGCAAGAAAGAGGAAACAGGAATCTTCATGAACAGGAGCAGTGTGTAGGCTGTGCATGGGTATGTAGACTTCTAGTTGTGTGAAGACTGTTGTAGGCATTCTGAAGAATCATTGGGCAGTATTTGTTCATATTAGATATGTATGTACCCTGCAGTCCAGTAATTCTGCTCTTGGTCTACCCCAAAGGGATAAAGAGTCTGTTTGAGTCCTCAAAGCCATTCAACTCCACAGAGAGACATAGTGGAGACATTCATTGTATCATTCACTGAGGTGGTGAGAAGTAGGAGATGAACCAGGTGCCCATCATCAGGACAGTGAACATATTAAGAAGTGTTCTACAGCAGACCCAAGCAACAACTTATCCATGTAACCACACAGATGAATCTTAAAATTCCAAGAGAAAAACATTTAAAAACAAACTAAGATCTATAACGTAATACTATTTACATAAATTAAAATGTATGCATACAAAGGAATCTTATTCCTCTTCATTTTCTTGAGAACAGCCGAGTTTCTTCTTAATAATAAAGAAATACTTATAGATATTCTGAAAATCAGTGGTATCTGTGTTCAAAATGTTTTCTTCTTGCAGATGTTGATGAATGCCAGGCTATTCCAGGAATATGCCAAGGAGGAAACTGCATCAATACGGTGGGTTCTTTTGAATGCAGATGCCCTGCTGGTCACAAGCAGAGTGAAACTACACAAAAATGTGAAGGTGAGTGTTTCAACTTTGGTAAACATGCCTAATTGTTGACTTCAAATCCAAGAAAAACATGCCTTAATTTGAAATGTTGGAGACTATTGATCATAATTAGAATTCTTTAGTATGAAAATATAGGTATAACCTTAGAGTAGTTCTTCAATAGTTTATGTATTAGAGCTTTAATGGGTTTGATTTGGAAGAGTCTTTGAGCATTTTGTATCTAGTTTATTATCTCAGTTGCTGTGTTGTATTGAGAATGTGAGTAATGCAGCCATTTATATTTTTCCCTAATAAAGTAGGTTTCCATTTCGTTTATGAAATTATATCAAAAATTAAAATTGAGGTTGAGAGAAGTCCAAGTGAAATAAAGGATCATGTATAAAAGGATGCATTAATAGGTGACACCATGTCATATATTATAAAATAAAATATTTTAATTGCCATACTGAATATGGTTGCTTGATTGGCTTACAAATTTCTGCAAAAGCATAATCAACTCAGGAAGGATTTGGAAATTAACTACCACAAAAGAATAGATTGCTCAAATAAAAAATATCCCAAAACTAATAATTTTCCAGACTATTAAGTATGTATTATGATATTGAAATGTAAATACCATCCACATTCTTCAAATAGAAAAATTTTACTTGTTATATTTATCTGTGATCCAAACCTTTATCATCAATTATAAAATTCAAGAAGCTTCTAAATATATGCAGCTTCAACAATTGTGTATATTTAGAATCATTTTGATGTGTCTAGTAGTTTTGAAGTATATAATGCTTATATTTTCATTTATTAGTTAAATAAATTTACTTCATCTAAGGTAGTTTTCTAAAGGCAATTGGGTATATCTATTCTCATTTTTTTTTACATAAGCATTATCATCAACTCAAATTAAGTCTTTTGTTCTTTCCCTTGCCGAAAGGCAGATTTAGGGTTATTATTTGTTGCTTGCTTATAAAGTTTTCCCTCTCTGTAAAAAAGAAAATGGGAAGAGGCAAAATTTATGTAATTATAGAAGGTAAAAAAGAATATGAACTATTTTATTAGACAGGAGGTAGAATATGGGTACATAGGCAATTTTTTCAATGCCAGAAACCATAATCCCATAAACCTATGGTATATATATCATCCTATATTTTCCATTTGCTCTGATTTATTTGTAGTCAGCTCCTAATTATTTTTTATAGTTTTATACAGTTTACATTATTACAAGTTAATTTCATGCTCTCCCCTAAGAAAGAATGTAATGGAATGTAGTTGATTATTTTAAGGACCAAGTAAATTCTCTGTGAAACTGTTTATAAGAACACCCAAGTATTTTATGTTACTTAAATACATGTTGATAAATAATATCTACCTATAGTAGAAAGATTAAAAATAATACTTGATAGATGGGAAAAATTAATGGACTTACCTGAATGAACACAGGAATAGGACCAGAAATTCAGAGATCTCCAGAAATTCTTGGGTTACTCTTTCCTTGCTACTTTTTGTATTTTCCTTCCTGACTTTTTTTTGAGTTGGTTCTACTGATCAAACTTTTGTCACTCCCGTTTGCTGTTTACTTCTGGAATAATAGCCAAACTAGATGTACTTAGGAACAAAGATAATATTTGATTATAGGTAAGAAGGCACAGCTACTGACTGATTACAGTGGTTGGGACATGTCTATTACACATCAAACAATGTATTTCTTAATAGTTGAAGATGGCATGAGGCTTTTCTATATTTCATGGAAACAACACACAGAGCCCTGCCAGAGATTGAAGAAGGATAGGGCAACTCTTTATTCACCACTTGCCCATAGTCTTTAGGAAAGGGGGTGATTGATACCATGTAGGCACTGCCCAGAGCCCTGAGTCCATTTGTGTCTTTCCTTACTTCCTCCCCAGGCAGCCAGATCCATTTAAGCATTGCCAAGAAAGAATTATGTAATTTAATATTTGGGATTTGTGGGGAATAGCAGAATTAGAAGAAGTGGTGATTAGAATTTAAAATCTAAAGGTTTTATGAAGTCTTTCCTTGTGTGTAAGTCACATTTATTTAGATATATCTTAAAAGTGGCTATTATTGATTTTCTTTAAGTAATATTGCTCTTTTATGTGAAAAAGCAAGTGTTATTTACTTATATAAAATTATTTAATGTAATTGGTAGTGTAATGTATTTGGAAAAGCTACAAACTATTGCTATACTTAGTGACAAGTTTTGAATTGTAGTCAGTTTATGTATTGTATAGTGTCTGTAAAAATGTTGCCATAAATTTAATGCTTACTCTAAATAAAAATATAACCATAGCAATTACTTTTGATCAACTGTCAAAGATAAGGCATTTTAATTTTTTATGTAAATTACAATGTGAATATTTAAAAATGGTAATATTGGGAAATTTATTTTTAAGTGATGCCCTTCCTGTTTTTATTATAGCACATTTTATATTTCTGTTTATACAGCAATGAAATTCTCTAAAGAAACCTTTTTTAAGTGACTAGGTCTGTTCAGAAATAAGAAAGATAACTCTAGCATTTTTCATCTGAGTGATTAGAATATGGTGATATCCTTAACAAGAAACTGTAATTAGCTTATTAATTTTTTAAAATTGTATTATTGATACTTTTTTGTTTGTTGACTGTCTCACTCCAACCTTTGAATAAGGTCCTTGAGGACACAGACTCTGTCTAGTGCTGTATCCCAGAGCCTAGAACAGTTTCTGGTATATAGTAGGCTCCCAAAAAATATGTGTTTATTAATTAGGAACTTGGGTTGAATGTTCTAAAAGAAAGTAAAATGTGGGCCCAGACTTAAAGTTGTATTGGAAAAGAGGCTAATGATTTTTATCAAGAGACTTTTTCCTTCACCTGACTATTTTACATTTTCTTGATAATTTGATTTTGCTCTGGTTGCCATTGAGAGACCAAGAGCATAAACATTAAATGCAATTTGGCTTTTTTTTTTTATCTTCTATGTCCTTGTTCCTCTTTGGTCACCTGCAGGTTATGCTTCTCAGGTCTCGGGTCTCAAGTTATGCTTCTCAGAAACCTTTGCCTTCTAAAAGAAAGAGAAATGTCTTCTGCTCATTCATTGCGATGTCTTCATAACATAAATCTTATTCTGAAATGCTTGTTCTGCCAAAAAATTAAGTTTGAGCATATATTGTTTATACTACATTTTTTAAATGTCATGGCTGTATTCATTTTTTAATTTAATATCTGAAAAATATGACTTGATATTTATCATGGAGACTTATTTTGTTTTATATAATTTATCTGGGAGACCCTCCTATGAAACTTTTCTTCCCTCGTGTTCAGGTACTTCTGTCCAAGCTGTAAATCTGAATCCAAAGCAGGAAGGAGTATACATTTCTCTTTTTCTTTGCCTCTCTGTGTGTGTATGTCTGAAGGAAAATCAGTTATTTTCCCCTTTTGCTCAGTTAGAGTTCCAAATTTCATAAAATCTCTCATGATGCCCACTGAAATCATGTCCTATTTCTCCAGGGCCAGTTAGGTTCCAAAATCTAGTTTCCTAATTCTGTCATACAGTGGGTAAGATGGTTCTTCAGTGGAGTAAACTATTTCTTCATATCCAAAGAGATGGTTGTTTCAGTTACTATTTTTAAACATTCATGAATCATATCCATTTAATGTAAATGCAGAAGGGAAGCAGAACACATCCATGTAACATGAAAGGGTACATCAGAACACTGTTTAGCATTTTTCTTTTTTAAAATAAAATGTTTTCATTTGAATTTTATTCCTCATGGATAAGGCACAAGTAAATGCCAGATGCCCCTACATGCTCCCCTCTTCCAGACCAGACCTTCTTTAACATTCCTGGAGCTAGTTACTCTTTCCTGGCTTGCATAGGAAGCAGGAAAAGAGCATCATTATATTGGAAAGTTTCCCTTCAATAGCTCTTTGTGTGTCAGATAGTTGTTTGAAATTTATTCTGAAGAGTTTTCAGCTTTGTTCCATTAACACAGCATTTCGATGTTTGAGATTTTTGATAACATAAATATGTTTATTTATGTTCATGAATCTCATAAAGCTTGTTGGCACAGTCTCTACTGCTGTTCCAACTCTGCTTTGGTAAACCATGGAAATTAAACTTTTTGTACTAAACTGAAAAGTACTTGCTGTTACTGATATTACCAAAAGTATATTAATTTTAAAATAAATAGTAAATAAATCCCATTGACTTCCTCAAAGGGAAAACCACATATTAAAATGGAGAGTGAAGTAAGAGTATTATTAACATTGGAAACAGATAAGACTTTTTAGGTCATAAATTTAAAAACCATGAAAATGCTTATCTTTTAAATCCTTTAAAATGAAATTTATAACATTGTAGTTAAAACATATGCTTTCCCTCTCTCTTGAATAAGAAAGCTGGGGTTGCTAAACTCAAACCTACTTTTTGCCTTCATAACAAATAATTTATTCTTCTGACACTTACCACATTATAGTGGTTTTTTTTTGCCTGACTCTGCCAGCAAATTATGTGCACCAAAAGAGTGTATTAATGAGAACTGATATTAATTGAGCACTTACTATATTCTAGATGATAACTCAATCTATTTTACATGGGTTATCTTACTAAACCATCACAACAGAGCTGTGAGGTTGGTTACTGTCATTAACCCACTTTACAGCTGAAAAAGCTGAGGCTCAGAGAGGCTAAGTAACTTTCTGGAGATTCTATGAGTAAGAAAGAGCAGCATCAGGATTCCAGCCTGCTAGATTTACTCCAGAGTGTTTGCTCTTAGTCAGTGCTATTGAGAAAACAAGGGTGGATGACCAGGCAGCACAGACCTCCATCCAGAACTGAGGTGGCACCAGAGGACACTCCTGGAGACCTCAGTAGCAATAGGAACATGATTCTTCCTTTGCCCATTGCACTTTGTGTTGGTACCCTGGGATATCTAGCAGAGTGAGAATTAGATCCAGTTCAGTGATCCTGCCACTGGCTGTAGAGATTGTAAGTTGTGTGACTGGCAAAAGCAGAGTCTCTG